ATCTGTTTCCATCGATCATTATGGTATCGTCTGTATCCACATCGAATTTTTTATCATCCAACATTGTACCGTTCTCATCGAAATAAACCGTACACGTTATCGATTTCATTTCTCTTGTCACCACTCAGAAGAGCATTGATGTATATGTGTCCTAACGGTCCTAGCTGACTGATTAATCTATCGCGACCTTGAGGTGTCCTTAAAACTTCTCTAACAGACGTTTCGAGAGATGGATCAGCATTGTTGGAGGTTTCGAAAACGTCCTCATCCTGTACCGCGGGAAAATGAAGTTGTGAATTTATCGACTGTGACATAACGTTCGACGACTGTTCTTTTAACGGAGATCGATTTTGTTTACTTTTTCTAGCAATTGCATCATCATTAACATCATTATCATCATTGTCGTTGTCGCTGTGCTTACGTTTACCTTTCGACGTTTTTACTTTCACGACATCTCCAATTTTCGACTGTTTGTCTCGTTCAGCTGTAACGATGCACTCCGCAATGCATCGTTCCGACGATACCAGCCGTCAGAAACATTTCATATTTCGCGATATTAGAATTACCGCCGTCGACAGTAGCTATCGCCGCTCCGACCGAACGCGTCCGAAGATCGCCGAACGATCTGAACTTCGCGCTATCCGCTGCTCCGACCGAACGCGACCGAACATCGCCGATCGACAATCCCCTCCGCAGGAATTGCCGACCGCCAAGCGATAACGGAAAAAACCGTAAGTAAACGAGCGGGAGCAATAATTAGTATATAACGCATAATTATTGCTCCGGGAGCTCTCTTCTATCCTAACCGCCGTTCCAGTACAAATTCCGCTCCGATCCTAGCTCCGGTGATCCGACGCGAAAAGGGGGTCAAGTGTTCTTGGTCTCCGTCAAGCGTTCTTGACAGTCGATCACCAAAGTTCCTGATCCGCTGGCCGTACGACGCGAAAAGGGGGTAAAGCGTTCTTTGCCTCCGTCAAGCGTTCTTGACAGCCGTACGCCAGTATCCTAGACTTTGCGCACCGGCGAGAAAAGGGGGTGAAGTGTTCTTCGCCTCCGCCAAGCGTTCTTGGCAGTCGGTCGTAAGGTTCCTGTGCATTTTACATTTTTGCGAAGCGTCCCTCATTACATAAAGGGAACGCGTTATCCGCGCCGCGACCATCGTCCGCCGCTGGCGTATACTCCGCGTCCGCGAATTCGTATCGTCATACCGTCGACCGCGCCCCGCGTCCGTCTTGAGATTTAAAGATCCCCACGTGTTTTCCGCCGTACTCGCGCCGTAATTTACACGTCTAGTTTTTCTGTTCGTGCCGTCCGTAATGTCTTAGTTTCTTTGTCCGCGCCTCGTAGTTTTTCTATACACGTCTTGTATCCGTCTCGTCTACTTGCCGTCTCGACAATATACACAACATACACATCTACACCGGCACACGAATACACACCTGCTTGTCATTTACGAACACGTACACACACTCATTTGTAAATACACACACTACACACAATAAACGTTTCTGTCTCTTGTAAAATACTGTGTCTAGTCTAATCATTTGATTCTACATTCTCTCTTCCCGTGCGAACCTTTTTCGCGACTAGCGAAATTTGCGACGAGCTGATTCGCGCGGAAATTAGGTTGTTTCACAGTGATATCGACAATTTGTCTCAACGGTTCTACGATCGGTTTGAATCTTTTCTCCAGGGCATTTTCGCTCTCCATTATGCCCGTTTTCAACGCTCTGTGTTTCTTACGAATCGACGCACGTGTTTTCGCGATCAGTTTTGCGGTTCTTTTGCGTTCGGCGATGCTATTCGTTTCGTCCATACCGTCGCGCTGTCACGATAAACACTGTACGACTTACAGAATCGCGAAATCGTCGAAGCCACGTCTAAACCTGCCATTCTGTAACGCGCTGTCCTTGTCTATAACCACGAAACCATATTTGCGTTGCCAACATAGATGACACAGTGTGCAAAATTTCTCGTACAACATATCAGTATTCACGTGATCGTTGTAAATGTGTTTCAGATTGGTGCCATCTTGTTTGAATAGAATTAGCAAATTGGTATTGTCGCGTATGAGATGCTTTGGTATTTTCGCGTATGTTTGACAGAGATAAAAACAATCGACACTCGCATGTCGACCCATAGCGAAGTATTCCCTGATAGTATTCTGCTAGTCGCAGGCCACGTCGTCGAATACGAAAATCGAGTTTGGAAGCGCTTCGCTAGGCGGAATAACGTCACCATTATTAGAAAAAGCATAGTAACCGATATCTTCGATCGATTTCAGCAGCTCTTCGAGATATCAATATTTAGGTTGAAACAAGGATTTCGAATAAACGTAAACGTTTTCGAAACGTAAACCATGTGGACTCTCTATCAGACTTAGCAACATATTCGTTTTACCGCAATTGGAAGGTCCGCAAATGATGCAACGTATCGAACTAGGTAGTGCAGGACCGTGTCTGCAATTCTCTCTGACCATGTCACTCGACATCAGTTTTCCGATCGAGATTCGATACTCCTATCGTTCGAGATTGTCGCACGAATCGCATTTGTCGCTCTTTTGACGGGCGTGCGCGAACTTAGATGCGACAGGGGGAAGTCACGTGCTATTTATACCGCGAACAGACGAGTTTCGCACAGTCTATCATCTATTGTGACGAGTGATCATTCAACGAAAAAAAAAAAAGTTCATTCTGATAACGGACAAACGCGACATTCTCGCTTTTACAGCCGAACAACTGCAATACGTACCAAGGGTCATCCTTCTGCGCGATTTCGAAAATTATATCGAAGAATTGTGGGATCGATTGCCCGATCATATAAAAGCCGATACTGAGGTGAAACGTTGTCGTATGTGTTTCGAGCATTATAATCTTCCGAATCAAAAAACGCATATAGACGGATCACCGCCTCTTACCAAGAATTGTCTCCAATGTCGCGTTGATATGCAAACAATCGCGTTGGAATGATACCTGCGCACGGCACGGGTTTACTGAACGCGACGATAAACGCGCTTCCGTTTGAATTACACATTCCTGGATACCAATTTTGCGGACCAGGTACGCGTCTCGCGAAACGATTAGCTCGCGGCGATCGAGGCATCAATAAATTAGATGCGGCTTGTCGCGAACACGATATCGCATATTCGCAAAGCAAAGACCTCGCCAGTCGACACAATGCTGATCGAGCTCTCGCCGAGAAAGCAAAACAGCGTATTACAGCAAGCGATTTGACATTCGATGAGAAAACCGTCGCGACCGCCGTGTGGGCAGCCATGAAGGCGAAGACAAAATTGGGCATGGGTGTGAGAAAAAGAAAAAAGTCAAGGAAAACGAGGATTTTATCTGTAGCGAAACGCGGTGGTTTTCTGCCAATTTTACCGGTGTTGGGTCGGATCTTTGATCGGTGGAGCAGCTACCGTGGCGAAAGCAGTGGGCGATCGAAAAGCCGCTCGACGACAACTCGAGGAATTGCAACGTTACAATCGCGCGATGGAGGGTCGAGGTCTGTACATTGCGCCACACAAACGTGGAGGTCGCGTGAGGAAAAGAACGAGGAGGGTAAAAAAAAAATATCATGGAAGAAAACGGTAGAGGATCTTAGATTACCGATCTCCGGCATCACGACGAACGAGCAATTGCGTCGTTCAGCGTATCTTTTAAAATTGCCATTCTTCAGAGGTGTATTTATGCGCGATGCGATGCCCGCGAAACCACGTCGTAACGAGAGCGGTATCGTGAATCTCGACGATTCGACAGCCCCCGGTACACACTGGGTCGCTTACGCGAAGAGGGGAAACGAATCTGTCTACTTCGACGGTTTCGGTAATCTGAGACCACCGACAGAAGTGGAACGATATCTCGGAGGTAACATTGCATACAACAGGCGATCGTATCAGTCGTACGATCAAAGCATTTGCGGTCAGTTGTGTCTACGGTTTCTCTGGGAGATCGATTGGAAGAGGAAAAAAGTCCTCGTGTGACAGATCGCACTACAATCCGAACAGTTCAGCGATGGCTTTCGCGCTACGATCATGTCATTGACTCTCTCACTAACGGGAAAAAACAGTGTCCTCGCGGCGAATTACTTCTCCGCTTTGGACTTGAGCGGTAGCGAATACGAATTGGGTCTTACAAATTTCGAAACGTACAACACGATACCGAACGTCACCTCCTCGAATAATAAATTCCACTTCGATACCGACGACATTACGATCACGATTCCCGTAGGTTCGTACGAATTGAACGATATCGAAAAGTATCTGAGGACCGCTATAGTTCACAATACACTACCGAGTACTATCAACAATGACGAACTCGAAGAATTCGACGAGGTAGATCTAATATTCGAGGACGAAAGAACTATGGAACGAGCGAAATCTGTATTGATTCTTCGCGCGAACGAAAACACCATGAGAAGTGAGATCAAGTGTCAATATTTAATAGATTTTTCCAAAACGAACAGTATCGGTTCATTTTTGGGTTTTTCATCTCGTATATTACGACCGAACAAGTGGCACGTATCGGACGAACCGGTTAAAATTATGAACGTGAATATAATTGGCGTTAAGTGTAACATTACCTCGAGTGCGTACAACAACGACAGATCGGTACACACGATACACGAATTCGCGGTGAACGTTCCTCCAGGATATAAACTATTCGTTACTCCGGCGCACGTCATTTATCTCCCGGTCATCGCACGAAACATTACCGATATAACGATACGTGTAATGGATCAAAACGGACAATTGATCGACTTTCGCGGCGAAGAGATATCGATTCGACTTGACATACGACGTAAATACTAGAAAAACTATGTTCGAGGGTGAAAGATGCTCGTCCTGAACGATTCGTACGACGGAGTGAACGTATCGCAAACACCGACATTGTGAAAGCCATTCAAAAATCGATACGATTAAACGAAAAAACAAAGAAGAGGAGGTCGATTAAACGCGAGGAACGTCGCCTTTCTACGGTCTCTCGGATTTGTCGTGAGAAATGAATCGTGACATCCTGAAGATCGGAGGTGCTCCGATCTTCGACGATCGCATCGTTAAAATAGAGACTCACACTTACAATCCGTACGCTAACACTACATTCGGATATAGCGATGAAATACGAATACCGATTCAACACCAGGATCTCTACACGTTACCGTGCGAAAGTGTGCTCTAAATCGAGGGAAAATTCGTCATAAAAAAGAAGGAAGGAAGTACCGACCGAACACCGAAACTGACGAATAACTGCGTCGCATTCATGTTCGACGAGATTCGTTACGAATTAGACGGAGTTGAAATTGACAGAAACAGAAACGTCGGTATTACAAGCACTATTAAAAATTACATTTCGTTGACAGCTGAAAGAAATAAAACGTTAGAGAATGCAGGATGGAAAATTGCATTTTCTCTAGACTCTTTGCTCGATCGACCAATAACAGCATCTGAAGAGTTTAACTTCTGTGTACCGCTCATCACACTTCTTGGATTTTGTGAGGACTACAAACATATAGTGATAAACGCCCGACATGAACTCGTTCTGATACGTGCGCGTAACGACAACAATTGCGTTATCACTAGCGACACCGAAGAATTTACACTCACATTATCAAAAGTACAATGGAAGATGCCGCACGTGATACTGAACGACGTAAACAAATTATCACTCTTGCGAACGTTGGAAAACGGACGATATCTCAGCATGGGATTTCGATCTTGGGATTTGTACGAGTTTCCTCTACTTCAGAGCACGACGAAGCATTCGTGGGCTGTGAAGACAACGTCGCATTTGGAAAAACCACGATACGTGATCCTTTTGCTTCAAACTGGAAAGCGAAACGTACTCTCTCAGGATAGTACTCGTTTCGACGCGTGCGCGCTCGTCAACGTGAAACTCTTTTTGAACTCCGATTTTTTTCCATACGATGATATGAATGTGGATTTTGAACGTAATAAAGTCGCAATACTATACGACATGTATACAAAATTTGCCAACTCGTACTACGGCTACGAAAGAAACGAAACTTTGTTATCACTCGCGCAATTTATTTCGTCCGCGCCACTCGTGGTGATCGATTGCTCTCGTCAAAACGAATCTGTAAAGAGCGCAACCGTGGACATTCGTATCGAATTCGAATGTAGAGCAAACATTCCGCCGAGCACTACGGCCTATTGTCTAATTATTCATGACAGAGTAATAGAGTACATTCCATTGACAAATGTCGTTCGTAAAATTATCTAACAATAAAGATAACGATTTTGACAATATTACAGGCTGAGTATTTTAAAATGTACGCTTCACAAAATAAACGTTATTTGAAACGAACTGTACTAATGTATACCTCACATAATAAACGTTATTTGAAACGAACTGTACTACGTTTATTGACACTCCTACCGATTTGTTTCCTATATCTATTTTCGACACACATACCACATATCTCTCCCCCTCCCCATACTCGGCAGAATGCGATTGACAGTCGAACCGTACATTTCCGCTGTGCACGTACGCCGCGATGTCTCTCGCTTACCTCGTAGCTTTCGTTTCCGTAACGGTATGCGCGTCGACGCCGACGGCTGAAAATCTCGTAAACACAGAAGTGATAGAATATTTGCAGAGGTACGGTTACCTAAACGAGGCAGATGTAACTACTCACACGTCGATCGAGGATGAAAAAATTAAAGAGGCTATCGCATTATTTCAAGAATACTATCAAATACCAGGTAACGGTATATTGAACGATAATACGTTAGATCAAATACGAAAACCTCGATGTGGACTTCCGGATATACCACACCAGAAACACAATACGAATACAGTAAAATGGAAAAAAACGCATCATACGTGGAACTTTCACTTAGCGGACGCGAATACATTGAAACTCGCGACATACGCATTCTCAATATGGGCAGCGAACACGTCTCTAACATTCGAACGTAAAACGTTAAATCCAGATATTTTGATATCATATCGCGAAGGAATTCACACATATGTCGACAACAGACGCAAGGAAATGATCTGTTCCGGTTTGTTCGACGGACCCGGTGGAGTGCTCGCACACGCGTTTCCACCTATGAACGACCCCATGCAAAGCACTGAGATACACGTAGACGTAGCGGAACCTTGGCTTATACAATTAAACGAAAGTATATCAGAAAACAAACTACATTTACTTTACACATTAACGCACGAAATCAGACATTCATTAGGATTATCGCACAATTATCGCGCAGATTCTCTAATGTTTCCTTACGTCACCGACAGATCCACTACACTCAGTATAGAGGACATTTTAGCTATTCAACGTCTATATGGAAAAAAAAATCCTAATGAAGTATCGAGTACACGGTCTCCACCGGTAACTACAGACACGCGTAAAACATCAACGCAAAATCTGTGCGATCTACCATACATGGACAATGTACTGGTGTTGAAACATCACATATTCGTCACTTATCGAAGGAGCACATGAGTGATAGCCATCAATGGTAAAAGGTACAAGGGACCACTCGCGCTCAATGACTATCTTCGTTTTCTTCCGGCGAACGTTTTAATAAACGCGGTGTATCAACGGCCATCAGAAGAAATTGTGATGTTTGCGAATAATACAATTTACATGGTAGATTATCCGAGTTTTCAATTGAAAAATGGTCGAAAACGTATTCCGACCTGAACTTTCCCGCAGAAATGCACGTTAACGCAGCATTAGTCACCAACCGAGGACAAACGTACGTGATCTTCGATGGCGACAGCGTAGCGTTAATGAATGAATGCGACATGACTATTCGCGAATATCACTCGTTAAAATCGATATTTCCGGGAATACCATCATCTCCGACTGCAGCCTACCGATATATCGACGGTTCTCTTCATTTCCTACAAAAACGTCAATATTACAAATTCAACGATTTCACCCAAACAGTAACGAATGCCGATAAGTTCGACATGAAAATACTCAACGTAAATTGTCCTACAGAAGGGCTGCTAAGAAAATTGTAAGGTCTTCTTAATCGACTGCTTCAATCAAATAATTTACTCGAATACACCGCAGAGGATGCATTAGACGATTAGCACGATGTTTTAAGTAAAAGAATATATTACTACATGGGTACGCAGACGATCAGTGCGAAAGAACGAATCGTTCGATTAACATCATGAGAGAGAGACATGTACGCGATTTCAAACGACACCGACGACGACTCTCGACGTCTCCTCATCGAGCGTACGAATGACGCGAAGATCAGAAGAGTTTTCACCAATACGGCAGCAAAGCATTTCATCACGGAGCACGATGGAAAAAAGGAAAAACAGTATAACGAAGCGAACAATATGCAGAAACAATATAACGAAAAAGTAGATACAAAAGACACGTAGGTATTTGTATTTTTTTTAATCATTGTTTTTTCTGAACTAATTTTTTTTTTCTTTTGCACAGAACCACAGTACGCATATTGGAACGAAGATCTCCTTTAACTGCTACCGGATACAAGTATCTAACCGTCGGCATCAACGTCAAATTGCCCTGCGAGATAACTGTCGTTCTTGAAGACAGTCACGGCAAAGAGATGTTCCTCTCAGCGACCGTACGGAGCGAGCTCACCGAACATAAACGCGTCATATTGTCGCTTTTGCAACCCGAAAATACAAAAGGAAAACACGCACCATCGCCAACATACATCGGAGATGTGACATTGCATTTCGGTCGAATTAACAGTATACCGATGTTGCGTCTTGATTTGACATCTTCACGAATGACCTTATCAAACAGTACAGTTGTCAATTTATTCAATCTAGAATATTGCGTCAATCGTCTCATTTCCTCATTCGATAATGTATCTGACATCATAAACAAAAAGTACTCGCGTCTTCTCAATATCGCGGCTAATGTGAACGATTCTACGAACATACAAAAAATCATGTACGAAAATGAATGCTTCGATCGCAACGACATAATCGATTGCGAACTAATCGCACTGATCTTCGGACCGAATTAAAACGCTTTAAGAATAAACATTATTTTGTATTATTAAATTGTATTCTCTCATGTAGTAACACCACTCGAATAAATATATTGACAAATAAGAAAATCAATTTTACATTTAATCTGACTAAATTACACGACAAAAAAAATGTATTTTATTCAACACGCGACCCTGAGGACTATAAATAGATCGCAATCGCGCGTAGCGACCTTGAATAAATTAACGGTAAGCGCGTAGCGAACGACGAGGAAAACGGGAAAAAAACTAACGCGCGTCTTCGAATAAATATATACATTAATATCAAACAATGTAAGGGCACAGTATATCAGTACATATATATATATATATATATATATATAT